AACGGCGTTACGTAATCAGGAAACAAAAATCTAGTAACTGTAATCCGTTACAGTTACATCAAAAAACAAAGTATTCAGATTACAGTTACATTTTGTAAAAAGTGGGAATACTATCAGGATTATATGTGGACTTCAGAAAACACAGTGGACCAACACCAGCAGATGACATGGCAGCCCAAATCATCACAGACTGTGGAAACTTCACACTGGACTTCAAGCAACATGGTTTCTGTGCCTCTCCACTCTTCCTCCAGACTCTGGGACCTTGATTTCCAAATGAAATGCAAAATTTACTTTCATCTGAAAAGAGGACTTTGGTCCACTGTGTTTTCTGAAGTCCACAGTCAACGCAGCCATCTACCTGGAAATTTTAGAGCACTTCATGCTTCCTTCTGCTGACAAGCTTTATGGAGTTGCTGATTCCATTTTCCAGCAGGACTTGGCACCTGCCCAACTGCCAAAAGCACTAAAAGCTGGTTCAATGACCATGGTGTTACTGTGCTTGATTGGCCTGCAAACTCGCCTGACCTGAACCCCATAGAGAATCTATGGGGTATTGTCAAGAGGAAGATGAGAGACACCAGACCCAACAATGCAGATGACCTGAAGGCCGCTATCAAAGCAACCTGGGCTTCCATACCACCTCAGCAGTGCCACAGGCTGATTGTCTCCATGCCACGCCGCACTGATGCAGTAATTCATGCAAAAGGAGGCCCAACCAAGTATTGAGTACATGTACAGTAAATGAACATACTTTCCAGAAGGCCAACAATTCACTAAAAATGTTGTTTTTTTTGGTCTTAAGAAGTATTCTAATTTGTTGAGATAGTGAATTGGTGGGTTTTTGTGAAATGTGAGCCAAAATCTTCACAATTAAAAGAACCAAAGACTTAAACTACTTCAGTCTGTGTGCATTGAATTTATTTAATACACGAGTTTCACAATTTGAGTTGAATTACTGAAATAAATGAACTTTTCCACGACATTCTAATTTATTGAGATGCACCTATATTTGAGAAAAAACATTTATTTCACAATGAGATTTTCCCCCACTTTCAATTGTTTTAATTGTTTCTGTTAGTTATTTGTGAATTTTTTTTAATAAAATATCAAAATGATTAACAATGCAGATTTATTTTCACAGCCTTATTTGTTCATATTTACCAAGGGTGCTAATAAATCTGACCACGATTGCATATCTACTACAGTACACGGATCCATTCCATATAACTAAACACAGCAATATAGACATGACAAATCAAAACATTTGTGACCGTGTGTGGAAACAATGTGAATGCATGGAAATGTCTGTGCCTGTGCATAAATACAATGTGCGATCAGTGCGTCAAGAGCACTCATATACGCATTATTATAATGGACTCACGTGTGCTTATTGTACGACTCCTGTACGCCACCGCAATCGTCTTTACCTTGATTGCAGTCTTCATCCATCAAAACTGTACTTGCGAGACTGGTTATCCAGTCGAGAAAATGTAGTTTGCGTCTCATCTGTCCATACAGCGGTGGGATGTGTTGACAATCCGTTCAGTCTGTACTTCACACAACGCGATGTGTGAGTGCTCGCGCTCTTGAGAGACAATCACAGAATATGACAGAGCTCGTGCTTAAAAGCAGAACACTGGAATTAATAATTAACTTAAAACGCAACGCGAGTCTCTGTTCTCTCTGCAATAGCCATGTGAGGGACGTTTTGATATGCTATGACAGATGTTTCAGATTGTGAGATGACATCGTGCACAATAACTGAGAGAAACGTTCATGGATCGAAGAAGAGTGTTTGTTTTTGCTTTGTAATAAGAGTTCGGCACAAATGTGCTTCATTCACTTGGTGAGCATAACTGTTTTTACAGCTCTGTGACACAACCCGTCAAAAGGCTTATATAAAAGCCACAGAATAAGCCTTAAAAGTTCTCAGAGGTGCAACAGTGCAAATGGCTGTGCATTTATTTGTGTTTTTAACTCGATGGGAGCAAAATTAAACTGTCTGAGCTGTGTCGTTCGTGAACGAGCCGGCTCTAAGAGCCGATTCTTTGTAGCGAACAAGAAGAGCCGACTCCCGTCGGGGAGAGCCGAATCTTCAGCCGGAGCCTTCTATTTTACACCAATTTAGCAATTGTGAATGGTTTGTGTGTTGGTAAGCAATTTTTTATTAAGTGTTTTCATAAAAGCCTTATTTTTATGCATTTGTTTCGTTACAAAAAAATAAATAAAAATACACATGTGGCTAATGACATGGGACGACAGATTAGGATCCTACCATCATGTGAAAGAAGGAAGGGGGACACAGAGCGACAGAGAGGGACAGGGGAGCCGGATTTAAACACAAGAGGATCGGTTAAGGTAGGAAGACACTGCAATTTGTTGCAACATCGGTCCCCTCAGAGAGAGTCTTCTCAAAAACAGGACAAATAATCACAGAGAGGAGAAATCGCATCAGCACACCCAAGCTGAGGCATCTGAGCCAACCTGCACTAAAGACTAAAGTGTTATTATTAAAGTTTTATTAAAATGTTAAATAATAGTGTGTATTTTATTTTTTTTTGTAACAGAAAAAAAAGCATAAAAATAAGGCTTTCATGAAAACACTGAATACAAAATTGCTTACCAACACACAAACCATTCACAATTGCTAAATTGGGGTAAAATCGAAGGCTCAGAGTGATACTAAATAAAGAGCCATTTGGGAGCCGTGAGAGGGAGCCGATCCAAAAGAGCCGAACTCCCCGTCACTAGTCTGAGCGCGAAGCTGTGTGTTGTCTGTCTCCCCTCTTCCCCCTCCGCTCCGCTGCGCACCACGCCCACTTTTTTAGCACTTTTTAAAACTGTGGTGAGCACTAACCAGTGCTGAAACAGGGGGGTTCATGACCCTTTAAGAGCCATCTCAATGTTTATCTGAAGGATGATTTCCTTTAATCAATTTTTCAGTTTGAAGTGTCGTTTATTATATTTACTTAGGTTTTTATCAAAACTGTAGTGTTACTTAATCATGTTAAAATAGCATGATTGGTAGACAATGTTAAAAGCTTTGTTAAATCACTGCAGTTGATTCGAAAAGATACAAGGCATCGAGTGTATATAATTGGCAAAACAAATCATGTAACGGTGGTTGTTGACTGCTGTTAACAGAATAAATTAAATGGGGCTTTAAGTGGTCATATATTTCGAATAAATAAAATATGTATGTATGTATGTACATACTCATTTAAACCCAGTTTATTTCCACAATCGAGCATTGGAAAACAACTGGGGCAAGTTCAAGCTCAAACCGGTGTGCACTGTTTTGCTACGGTTTCCGGGTTGAACGACATGTTTCCTGGAAACGGTGTGCAACGGGGTTTGAGATGCGTTTTCTCTTGTTTGCTGGCTGTGTTAAACATGTCAGCCCAATCAGCAGCAACATGTATGTAAACCACGCAGTATTAAAGAGACAGCTCTCACAATTAACATCCAAATAAATTCACAAGAGCAAGTATATTGTTTGCACATGTTTATTTACATTAAAGGCAAAATTACTGAAATAATAAGAGCACAAGTATAGATCTGGAACTTCTTTAAGTCTGTCTA